ACGTTGAGACAAACCATTGTGAGAGTACTTTTACTTAAAAAAATACTTTAAAGTAAACTTAAAAGTACTTAGTACTTTCACTTAAGATTGTTGATGTAGCACTTCTACTTTTACTTGAGTACATATTTTGCAGGATATTTGTACTTTTACTTAAGTACTAAGCTTCAGTACTTCCTCCACCACTGGTCCCTTGTCATCTCCCACCTTGACTACTGCAACTCGCTTCTAGCGGGTTTACCACTGAGCGTCATTCGTCCCCTCCAACTGATTCAGAATGCAGCTGCTTGACTTTTCAACCTTCCCAAGTTCTCCCACACCACTCCTTTGCTGCGCTCCCTACGCTGGCTTCCTGTGGCTGCCTGCATCAGATTCAAAACACTGATGCTCGCATACAAAGCCAAAAATGATCTGGCTCCATCCTACCTGAAAGACCTCATCACACCCCGCACTGCACCACGATCTCTACGATCCACCAGCACTGCTCGACTGGTCCCACCACCCCTCAAGGCACAAGGAAGACACACCTCTCGGCTCTTCTCTGTTCTGGCACCAAGTTGGTAGAATGAACTCCCCCTAGATGTCCAAACAGCTGAGTCACTGAATGTTTTCAAAAGATGACTTAAAACACTTTTTCCAGAAATACCTGAATTAGCACTTCTGGCATTATATATATATATATAAGGAAAAAACTGAGTATAAAAAAAAAAATTAAAAAAAAAAAAAAAAAAACTTTCCCCAACAGAGTATTAGATCGATGGTATTCATAGCCTTGGTTTTATTGAGCTAGTATCTGGAAAAATTCATTGTGGAGTCTTAAAGCACTTATGTAAGTCGCTCTGGCTAAGGGCGTCTGCCAAATGCTGTAAATGTAAACGTCGATGATACTCATCCCCAGAGCATTAGTGAATTATATTTCCATTAACTCTGCATAGGCACATCATATTTATCGCTTTGTATAGGGACTGCTCAGTTTAATTTCATTCCATCTACCAATAAACTGAAAAGGATTTTATTTTAACTTTTCCTTGTGTTCCAAACTGCCTTTCCAATGTGATGGGTGTAGGGTGCAGTGACATTCCAGACCGACGGGCCATTGCCAGTATGCAAACTAGGAGGTGTGGGGGACACCTCTTAATACTCATTGTATTTGAGAAGTGTCACTCCAAAGTTCTAACACTCTGGAAAGCAAACCACATAAAATTTCAGAATGTCTTTCATCTCTATGCCAACCCGTATCTAAGCTTGGGAGCTCAAAAAGTCTTGGCTAGAATTGTTTGTGATTTTACAATTTCTCAACATCCTTTTCAAAACCTATTTCAAAGTTGATTTAAAAAAAAAATAAAAAATTAAGTGGTCTCAGATTATTGGTGCTGAATAAAAAGCACATGTAACAATTTAGATAAATTTCACCTAACATTTATCCCAAAGTGTCAAGGCATGTCAGACTACCCCGAAGGTGGCTGAGAGGCCTCAGACAGAGTTAATCAGTGTGAACTGGTCAGCATTATTAAGAACCACAACCTTAAAGAATCTCAAATTTGTAACACAATTAACTCCCAATGTTTTGTTCATGTATTACAGCAGCAGCCTAGGGAAGTAAAGCTGAATACAAACGCTCAGACACCACACACATGAATGTTTGATTGCTTTATTATATTTAAATCATGGTGGAGGCAATGACTCAGTCATGCACCTTCATTAGCTACCCCCGTTAATGAACGGGAATGTCACTTGCAGCCAGAAGAATATGTAACAGTTGTCTCCTCATCTGGAAGAGAGCAACCAACCACATGTGAAGTCTCTCCAAAATGCGAGACACTGATTAGAGCCAAGTCATTGCATAGTGCTCACAGTAATGAAATGTACTTACTGGGCTGGTAGTAGTCATATATCCTGATAGTTGCTGGCTTGAGGTTCCCAATCTCCAGCTGCTGTACGAGTACTAGGCTGTAGGACAGAGGGCTCATTCTGGGTACCTGTGCAGAAGTTGAGATCCCAGATACCGTGGTTAGCTTCCTTTACCACAAAGCTTTCGGTAAACTGTTGAAAGCAAACTGGTTACACGGCCATTGAGGACTTGTATATATTCAAAACAGTGCAACAGAAATTGCTTTACAATATAAAAAGCACAAACCATCCCTACTGCCACCCTCACTATGTAAAAGGGACAAAAGGCATGAAAGACATGAATAAAGTAGACAAATGAAATGGCCAACAGTAACCGGAACTGAGAATTCCATCACGGATCTCACATTTACATGAGGAAATCAGATGCAGGTTAAAATCTGAGAGTCAAGGGAAGAGTCAGAAAAAGAAACACTACTAAAATTTGTGTAATGCAAGAGGATAGATAGAACATTAATTTATCCCTAATGAAAAAAAGTTCTGGGATTAAGAGAAGGTACTAAGAAATTGAAAGCACAATAGGTAGACGAGCAAAGCAGTTTATGCAACAAAAACCCCCCAAACAAGCCCGATTCAAAAGGTCCGTCTCAAGTCTGCTTTTTAAAAAGCAGAACAGTGACGCCCCAATTCTCTGCTGCAATGCACTGCAAACAGGCAGTGCCAATCTGCTGAGCCAAAATGGTTGCATTTCAGGAATAGTGCTTTCATAGCTTAGAACTGTCCAGTGGGTAAGCAGAGTGAACTCACCTCTTTCAGATACAGAAGAACAGAATCATCATTACTGTCAACCCGTTCAACCATTTCAGCTCTTCTTAGCT